TTTTTTTTTTTTTTTTTTTTTTTGTAAAAATAGAGTAACACTGTGGGTAAACTAGAGGGTTTGATTGAATATTTGTTTTATATTTATCCCAAAGAATAATATTTTCAATACTAGTTAACTTAGGATAAATTTTTCACAAAGTGATTTCGATGGCGAAGCATAACTTCATTTTTGATCTTCATTATTTAGTATTTAAAAAAAAAAAGTTTCCTGAATAATTTTATGAATTTCAAAGTTACTGAATTTGCTAAAATTAATATTAACTTCTTTTTAAAATAGAACTGCTTTGAATGTGGGACTTGTAACCCTCAATGGGCCAGTGTAACTTATGGAATACTGATCTGTTTAGAGTGTTCTGGCAAACATCGAGGATTGGGTGTTCATCTGAGGTACTTTGTTATTTCCTACAAAACGTGTTCATTTTTAGTTTCTTCCATGCTTCTCTCTGTAAAGTGTAATTTTTCATCCAAATATTTACTTATGTCTATTGTATTGATTTTTCTAACTTAATAGCTCTTTTATTTTTGAATTTTGTAAAATTTTTATTTCATTATGATATAATTGAAATAATGTTTAAAGTGTTTCTACATTTTTGTTTATCTTAACTTGCACAAATAGTTAGGACTTATAAAAATAGTTTTCTAGTGACTGTGTTTATTTTTCTCTGAAGCAAGTGTCAACAGTTTCAAAACTAGAATATTTGTGCAAGTTTAATTTTTAGAATTATTATCAAAATACTTTAGATTCTCAGTTTGCCCCTGAAGAAGAAAGGTCCACCTTTCGAAAGTGCTCGGATTATAGGGTTTTTATTCATCTCTATCAAGACTTCTTGAATCTACGTGTTTTTCGAACATCATATATGAAAATACTTTGTCATTTCAAAGTTAAATATATAAAAAAAAAAGGATAGGTGACAGAAGTCCTGTTAAAGTCATATCAAAACCAAGAAAAAGACAATAATTAAATGTATTTATTAATTCAATTTAAGTACACATAAGGCGAATAGTATGTATTTCCTTGCAAGTAAAAAAAAATAGTTAATTAGTAAATGAAAACTTTTGATATAAGTATAATTCTTCTAAAAGTAAATAATTGGTGACATTTTTTTTTCTTTTGGCTAATGGACGTATTTTCGGTAGATTAAGAATATACATTTATTTTGCTCATGTCAGTTCTGAAGTTCAGACATTTCAAATTAGTACTGTGTCGGTATAACAGTTTGTAAAATTCACTTCAAATCATGATTTTCCATACCATGTAATGACAAACGTACAAAACGTTACGTAGTTTGTGAGACTGCGAGTAATGGATTTTTTTAGTTTTGTTAGGTCAGTATTTATGGACAAGTGGAAAGATGTGGAACTAGAGAAGATGAAGGTTGGAGGAAACAAGAAGGCACAAGATTTTCTGGAAAAACAACCAGACTGGAATTCCAGTATGCCGTTTAGGGAAAAATACAATACTAAAGCAGCAGCACTTTACCGAGATAAGGTAAGCTCTATCGTTACCTGTCCATATCTTGTGTGTAAGTTAAACTTAAATACTGAAAGATAGTTATAGAAAACTTCATGACAGGTTTTAATGACTTTGTACACTTAAGTTACGTTTTAACCTAAACCTTTATGTTTTGTTTTTGAGATCTCACTGTCTTTTTTATTACATTAAATTCCCCCCAAAGTACGTAGCTATTTTAGAATGTAAATAATGTTTTTTTTTTGGAAAGGTAAAGAGAATGTAAAAAAAAACGTTTTTATTATTTGTTTTTAAATAGCACGTTTATTATAGTAATCATCTTGACATTTTTAAACAGTAGGCAGCTTCTTATTTGGTATTTACTTGTTCTTCAGTAGGTCTGTTGCTTTGTAATAAAAGTCAAACATGACATGATAATTTATTTCTGCATTGTCAACAGATAATTCTAAGAACTTGTGAGTGAAAGTGAGGAAGAATACGTATAACAACATATATCCAATGGATATAACAATATGTCAACCACACTTTATATATACTATATCCAGTGCTGATAAGACCTTTCATCCACTCATCAGGCAAAAAAACAACAACTGACTCTTTAAGTATTCCAAACTGGTGGAATAGAAAATTACCTGTATTGATACACTGTTTTATCCAATCCTCTCCATGAACCAAATATAGTGACACCTTCACCAAAAAGAATAAAATAAAAACTTTAGGCCTAACTTATATTTAAGCCAATGATGTTTGATATCTCGTTAGAAATATGTATTTGTTTTAATTGGTTTTAGGATGCGTTAACATTATGTTTTGGAGGGGTATCTCAGTTGTTGCTATATCTAGATTCCTTTTTTCATTTCTCTCTGTTAAAAACTAAAGTACATAATTTATAAATTACATTTCAGTTTTTTCTCTTCCATGGGCTACCTCCCTCCCCTGTTTTACACATAATTATGTGCATTTATCACTTTGTCCCCCAAATAATTACATATGGACTGACTCAAGTTACCACCCTATCAAGGGTCATGTAATAAGGAGAATTTAAAGTGATCAGAGTACTCGATAGTTGACTATTTTTCTAATTCTCCTCAGTATACTTAAAGCACGTGATTGAGCTTGTGTTGGCTATAAGTCAGTTGTGTTTAATGTATTGTTCTGTAATTAGCACGCCTGGTTGACCTGTAGGGAACATATATGGATCATTGGGTGAAACACGAAATTACAGCCCAAAGATAACACGCTTCCTTAACCTCTTCTTTCCAAACAGGCTTTGCAGTCATGTTTCAAGTTCAACCATGGAAACGGGGCCAGATGTGCTTTTTCTTTTGTTCCTGCTCTGTAAATTGATTTTAAACTTCATTCAGTAAATTTGGTTGTAATAAAGTCCTATAATGTGTTAAATCTTATTTTATTTTGATTTTATGTTGAAAGGAATTATATGGCTTTGATGTTTTATAGAAATTATATGTATTTGGTAATTTTTCAAACAGGCAGAATTAAACTGTTATTTGACTTAACCTCCTCTGTGAAAGATGATACAAAATTAAAACATTTATTTTGTCTCATTTTGTTCAGATTGTAACTGAATCTCAAGGAAAGACCTGGTCTGTTGAAACATCACCAGCAATGAATTATCATCCAGGGAGCTCATCAGGAGGTACTGCAGATTTCAACATTGAACAACAAGGATCTAGAAGTAACTCTTGCAGTCAGATTTGTGACTGGGAAGAAGGTTGTTCTAGTTACCAGAGGTGGGAATAATCATTGATACAAGATTTAATTGACTAACACATATACAATAGAATTGTATTTGTTTTCATAGCCTGATCATTCAAATTGATTTGCTGGCCACTTTCTTTAGCAGTAGATATGGACGTGTTTGTGGCTTTGATGTAATTATTACAACTGGTTTGCTGGCCACTTTCTTAGCAGTAGATATGGACGTGTTTGTGGCTTTGATGTAATTATTACAACTGGTTTGCTGGCCACTTTCTTAGCAGTAGATATGGACGTGTTTGTGGCTTTGATGTAATTATTACAACTGGTTTGCTGGCCACTTTCTTAGCAGTAGATATGGACGTGTTCGTGGCTTTGATGTAATTATTACAGCTGGTTTACTGGCCACTTTCTTTAGCAGTAGATATGGACGTGTTCGTGGCTTTGATGTAATTATTACAACTGGTTTACTGGCCACTTTCTTTAGCAGTAGATATGGACGTGTTCGTGGCTTTGATGTAATTATTACAACTGGTTTACTGGCCACTTTCTTTAGCAGTAGATATGGACGTGTTCGTGGCTTTGATGTAATTATTACAATTGGTTTGCTGGCCACTTTCTTTAGCAGTAGATGTGGACATGTTCGTGGCTTTGATGTAATTATTACAACTGATTTACTGGCAACTTTTGTTGTAAAACTATATATTATGCAGTACATGTTGTACACAAGATACTTGTTTTTTTTTATGATGACAGTTAAAGCTTTGACTATTGTAATTTAAGAAGGACCCTTGTCTAGCATTTTTTAATTTCATTTTGATTAGCTGAATTAGGGTGATTTGTATCGTATGGCCTGATTACAATCTTGTATATTTTGTTTTTGTGCCTGTGTCATGCTCAGAAAGCAATAATAACGTTCTAAATAACAATTTCATCCTTGTTGTGATATCATTGGTTGTTTTCTGGACAAAATGTTTAGTTTTTCTTGTTTAATGTCTAGGTGTAAGATCAGTCACCAGAAAGACTAAAATAAAATATCAGGGTTTGGTTTGGATAACACTTGGAAAACTGTTGAATGCTGGAAGCAAAGAGATATCAGTAAAGAAATAAAGGTTCACCTGTGTCAGATATTACTTTCGTTTACACTGCTATATGGTGAAGAAACCTGACCCATGACGAAGACAAATACGAATAGATTGGAAACCACACACCATCAATGGCTAGGAAAGATGTTGCACATTTTCTGGAAAGGTAACATAACAGACATCAGGGAGAGATGTGAGGGAGAAAGAAGATGGCTAGGTCAGGTGAATGACGAGCAAGGAAAGCACTGGATTGGATGGCGGAAAAGAGGTCATCCAAAGTAAACTTAGGGGGAGGCTTTCAGCAGATATCCAGAAGATGGTGGAATGGAATAGGAAGATATTCTCGATAAGTGGAAAATAACCATAAAAAACAGGACTTTTTTTACACAGGAAGGACCAACTATATATGCAACATGTGTAGACATTTTACCTAACCAATTATCTTTTGTTCCAGATCCGGCTATACTGATCCCAGCAATTCTAGCAAGAAAAATTCATTCATTGTAAAATATCAAGAAACCAATTTATCAAGACCTGAGTAAGTATGTTGTTTTCTCACGTCGTGATACAAAAGTTTTATCTGTTGACTGCACTCTTGTTCTTTATCTATTGTGTTACACCATTTGTTTAATTATAAAGGCTTTTAATAGTCAAGTTTATCAGTGAAAGTCTGTTTCAAAAACAAAAAACACAAGTTTGTGACTGATAAAATAAATCAAACGTCACACATTTCTTTTTTAATAACCCATCAGATGCATGTCGTTCGTTTTGTTTATAAAGTGGCTTGTAAAACAAAAAGTTGTCCTTCGTACTTGCAATAATTGTATTACTTTGTAAGTACATTATTTCCATATTGGTGTTATTTTCATATAAGTGTATTAGAATGTAAAATTTGTGTGAAAGATTTCCCGCTAAGTTATTAATTAAGAGACTGTATTAAATTCTTATTGTACTAAACTGTGCAGATGTATGAATATAGATTAGTGGTCAGAAAGAAGGTTCATTTTTGAGACAGTGCAGCAAAGATTTTTATTATATCTTGAAGTATGTCTCAACAGTTTGAAGCAGTCTTATCTCACAAAAGACCACGTTGTTAACTATATTTGAGGGGCCTAGTTAACTAAACTACGACTGGTCCATTAAAATATTTGGAAATTAGAAGGACTGTCAGAAGTTTTAGTAAGTTTCCAGTTCCTGAACTGAATATAGTGTAAATACATAAGATATGTGAATAATCTTGTGTGTATATCTTCCTCAGAAATTTATTTATCACCACATGCTCCTAGTCATTTAATGTGTATGCAATTTTTTTTTCTGGCTACCCAAGCATTCATGTTATAAATTTTTGTAAACCCTAACACAATCTCCGATACATTATCACACTAGTATTGTTTGACCTGGTTGTTTCATTGAAACTATAGTCTAAACTATTGTCGTTCCAGGAATATTCCACTCCATCAAGGAGGAAAATATATTGGTTTTGGAAATACGCCTGTTCAGCCACCGCGGAGTCAATCTCAAGGGCTTCTCAATGAAGTGTGGGCCTCGCTGTCTTCTGTAAGAAAGTCGTACCACGTTGTGTATTACTTTGAATCACTCGATGACAACTGGAATAGTGAAATCTAATTCCACTTCTTATTGTTGGCTTTCAGTTTAGAATTACTAAAATTATTTGTGTATTTATAAAGTACAAGGAACGGAACCTATCAAAAGCTTGCTTTTAGTATGGCAGTTGTATTCAAATAAATTGACTGATGTTAGCAATACACGAACTAGCGTAACCAGCACTGTGACTTTGTATAGAATGTCTTAGACATACAGGTGTTTGAGGTATTTCTTGTATATTTACTAAGACACGCATGACGTATGTTTTTAGTGTGCATGTATGTGGCGAAAACTAAATAATAGAATGTTTATTTATCTTCCGTTATTTTTCTTTCCGTCCATTCAGGGCTGGACAAGTCTTTTTGTAGGATCAACAAATTTTGCTTCCAAAGCTTCGGAAGAGGTGAGTCAGGAGATGTATTGTTTATTACTTTTAACCAGATCTCCAGACTATACCAATGACCCATATTTTAGAATGGTCAGTCACTAGTTTATTAAAATGTCTTTAAAACTATGAACAAAAATCCTATTAAACAGTTAAACAAATATTACAAAATAAAAAAATGAATGAGAAACTAGTGTTAGAATATAGGAAAAACACAGGTCAAGGCAATTTGTTTATAACTTAAAAAAAAATGAAATTACACTTATTGTTAGCATCCTAGTGTGAGGAAACATCAGTTGAGAGAGGATGAAGGTTTTTGTGTGAGGAGACAACAGTATAGAGATGATGAAGGTTTTTGTGTGAGGAGACAACAGTATAGAGAGGAGGAAGGTTTTTGTGTGAGG